ACTTAATAAATTTTTTAAAAATTCAAAAAAAACTCGTGCACATGTGCATCTTGTGCATGCCAATTTTAAACACTGCTAATGAGGCACCAAACTGCCAACTCTGATAATTGCTATAAAGAGGATTTCTATTAAATTTAGGGTTTGTGAATTATAAACTATAAAAATTAAGTACTGTATTGATATTGTACAGTATGTTAAAAATTATATACTGTATAATTGATGCAAAAAGCCAATATTTGGCTTGATTAAACTTTAAATTCACACAAATAGGGTCTTTGCCTTGAAAATGACCTTACGGAATCATGTACCGTAAGGTCATTTTTAAGGCAAAGACCCCAAATAATACTGCAAACCATACATAAGTAAAAATAATTTGTTTTAAATACCAGAACATGTTCATTTATTTGTATTAAAATTTGATTTAAAAAATAAGTGAGGTTCATTTTTTTCATCATTTAAAGTTTTATATCTAATGCAACAATCTTCATAGTATTTGCATTGAAGTACATTTAAAAAAACTTTACTATATATATTTATATTACATTTATATATATAGAAGAAAAGAATTTTTATATTTGAAACAAGAAATATAGAGAACCTTACCTGAATGCGCTTTCTGCCGAATTATAAACCAGTGTTGAAAATTCGGTGCATGTATTGTTTTTTGCACAAAAATTAACAATTACTGTGCAATTGCACAAAAAAATAAAATAACATTTTCTTGCACAAAATGTTTGTGCCGAATTTTCAACACTTATAAACAGGACATATATACAGTACTGTATTAAAAAATGTATGTATTTTGGTGAACATTTTCTTAAGAACTTTTGGATGTATTTAAGGGGTGCGTTTAAAGAACCATTGTACAGGGGTTTACTTTTATAAATTATATAATAATTTTTAGTATTGTATATTACGATAACCAATTACAGTAAATGGTTAATTAATGCCAAGAATTTTTTACGTATGTACGTATCAGTTAGCTGAGAGCATGTACCTGTTTCACGTGTATGAAGTAGACCCCAATCATGGCATTGTCTTTGACCAAACCCATTGTTTCCGATACGCAGTAACACTAACTGTCGTATAAATATTAAATCCGTGTTTACATACGTTTGCATACATAAATTATAATTATGATACTTATTATTAGAACGTACTGTACATAATTGAAATTTCTAATTGTTAAATGTTTATACGTAATAACGAATTGTTAAACCATAAAGCACGGAAGGTATCAATCAATAGCGATAGAATTTTATAATTATCAATTTATCATTACTGTAATTGTTTGGTACGTATTCAATCCTTATATGTAATTAAATATGCAGATTAATAAGAATTTATGTACGTATCGATATTCAATTCAATATTTGATTAAAATATGTCGATGAATAAATATTCAATTAAATGCGTAATACGTAATGTAAACAAATTATTACAGCTTTTATTTAAATAATAAAATTAAAATATTGGCATTAAATGATTATTATTAGCAATTCATTTTAATTTTTAATCGCCAATAATTCGTAATTGATAGAAAACGTCCATCATTATTACTTATGATGTATAGTACTACCATGTTCTTAAAATATCTTCTTCGAATTTATTCATTGGTTCATTCCTTTCTTACAAGCGTAAATTCGCAAATCACCAATTACTTTCACCTCACATTCTCTCCATCATGCATTGCAATATCATTTGTCTCTCATCATCGTTCTTTGTTAAATTGTGTCAATGGTTTATGTTCTTTAATGCCCATCTCGTATTCGTTCATTGCTCGTACTAATGCTATTTTTGCTTTATAAAAATTAGATCTTGCATTTTTAATCAAATTCCAAATTATAATGGGGGTTTAACAAAGATACTATAATGAATCAACATATGAAATGATTTGAATGGTTCGATTCCGATCACTAGAGCACAAGATAATTTTAAACCCGAAAATTAACGTTATCGTTATATACAGTTGAACAAGTCTAATTAGTGGTTATGAGAATTTGAATGATGTGAAATATCGATTGATTTCGATCGCCGGGTTAGAGCTTACGGATTCCTTATTCGAATAATGTTCGAATAATTTGGATCAGCAAATATCTATTCGTATATTCGCCAAATAAAAATTATTCGAATGAATTTGTTTATTCGAATTATTCGTCAGATAATTATTTATTCGAATATTCGTCGAATGCGAATATTATTCGAGTAACGAATATGAATACGAAGCTCTAGCTGGGTCTCAATATATTTTCAATTCGTCATAATATTCCCCTACGATGCTGAAATTATAGTTTTTTTATGTCGATCTGTATTAATTATGAAACAATCTATACTTTTAAAAAATCATAAATTTTTAAAAATAATTGAATTTATTGAAATTCTGTTATTTACTACTTCCATCATTTGCAAGGTACAAATATTACTATATTTTTTTCACTATTGCATAACTTCTGAAATGCAATTATCATATCGTTGTATTTTATTGAATGAAACAATTTAACCTGCTAACGCCATTAAATAGACATTCGGTTAATAATTTTTATGTGTCTGCTTAGTGGTATCAGCAACATCACGAACAGACTGTTTAATTTCTTCAACAGGTCCTTTAGGATGACGGCCGGGTTCCGGATTAGCCAATCTTTCTTTGGATTCTCGTTGTCTATCACTTTTCTCACTAGAAGAATCAACTTCTAAAGCCTTTTTACCCTAAAAAAAAAAAAAAAAGGAAAAAGGAAAAAAAAGTTCAAAATTTGCAATTTATAAAGTAGACACTCAAATCTAGACACTTTATAACATACTTTATCCGCTAAATTTTGACCTTTCTCTTTTATACTCTCCATAGTATCATAGCCTTTATCTTTTACATATTCCATAGCATCATAACCTTTATCTTTTACATATTCCATAGTATCATAACCTTTATCTTTTGCATATTCCAAATTTTCATGCCCTTTCTCTTTCATACTCTCCATAGCATCATAACCTTTATCTTTTGCATATTCTAAATTTTCACGCCCTTTATCTTTCATATTCTCCATAGCATCATAACCTTTATCTTTTGCATTTTCCAAATTTTTCTGGCCCTTATCTTTTAATTGCTGTGTATGATCTTTAAGTCCTTTGGCCGCAGCTTCAGATTGAACATCTAAAGCAGGTGAAGTCATTCGTGTAAAAACGTCTTTGACCTTCTCAGTAGCACTGACTGCTGTATCTTTCATCACTCCTAAAACATCCTTGGCTTTATCGATAGCATGGCCTTCACTCAATGGTTTTTCACGGGTAGGACTTGTTCTTTGTGGATCCCTTTCTTCCGGACCTGAATGACGAGGTTGGTCAGGTGATATAAATTCTTGTCTGTGTCGATAAATTGTGGTTTGAAATAGTCGACTATTGGTAATTACAGCAATTCTATTAGGTACCAAAAATTTATGGACTCGAATCATTTTTTTTTTAAACAAAAAAAGTTTTTTTTAATGGGAGATATTTAGAGGATTGAAATTGTTAACTTTAATTTCAGAAAGCATTATTTCGCTTCTTATATTTCTAAATTCTCACATAATTTACATAATAATTACGCTTGACCAACTTAAATATCATGACGAAATTATAACATCATGATTTTTACAGTTACGTTTATTAATTAAATGAATCTTTTAATTTAGGACTCTACTCAACTACTCAACTACTCAACTATACTGACAATCACATTAAATACGTTATAGTAGTCGATAATGCATTAGTCGATTAGTATTGCTTGCTGCAAATATGAATTACAACTTATGTGCTAAAGGGACTAAGTGTTCTAAGGGTCATATGTCTAAATGCCTTTAACGGCATTTATGGCCTAAATGCCATAAATGGATAAAATATCTCTAATAGAATATGTGACTTTTTTGCTATTAGTGGCATAAGTGGCTGAAAACGAATAAGTCTATAGGGGACAACAATTAAGGTAATTATTATTTTAGGTTTCTATCTCCGTTGTGTTTAACATTATATACATAACTAATTCTCATAAAAATATCATAAGACAAAATAATAATAATAAAAAAATAGGGTGCCGGAAACCTTCACAGTATTCTACAGGAGGATGAATAATCGGACTGTGGTGCTCAGGAAAATAATTTCTAGGTATTAGTATTTTCTTATTAGTTCAACAATGAAGATCAAAGGTCTTAGATAAAAAAGTTTTTATTATTAACACTTTTTTTCACAAATCAATCAGATTAAGGATCTACAGAGTAGGTATGTTATGTGGTCCGGTCTTAGACTAATAGACCAAGTTAGTCTTAAGACTGGTCTGGACCTAAAAAAAA